CAAGGTAGCAAAGGTGAGATCTGTCTAAGTGCTCCGGGTAGCGCGAAGGTGAGGTTCTGGGTCTGAGTGTCGGCAAGGTGCTGTATGGTGAGGTCTGGGTCTGAGCGTAGGCAAGGTGCTGTATGGTGAGGTCTGGGTCTGAGCGTAGGCAAGGTGCTGTATGGTGAGGTCTGGGTCTGAGCATAGGCAAGGTGCTGTATGGTGAGGTCTGGGTCTGAGCATAGGCAAGGTGCTGTATGGTGAGGTCTGGGTCTGAGCATAGGCAAGGTGCTGTATGGTGAGGTCTGGGTCTGAGCGTAGGCAAGGTGCTGTATGGTGAGGTCTGGGTCTGAGCGTAGGCAAGGTGCTGTATGGTGAGGTCAGGGTCTGAGCATAGGCAAGGTGCTGTATGGTGAGGTCTGGGTCTGAGCGTAGGCAATGTGCTGTATGGTGAGGTCAGGGTCTGAGTATAGGCAAGGTGCTGTATGGTGAAGTCTGGGTCTGAGCGTAGGCAAGGTGCTGTATGGTGAGGTCTGGGTCTGAGCGTAGGCAAGGTGCTGTATGGTGAGGTCTGGGTCTGAGCGTAGGCAAGGTGCTGTATGGTGAGGTCTGGGTCTGAGCGTAAGCAAGGTGCTGTATGGTGAGGTCTGGGTCTGAGCGTAGGCATGGTGCTGTATGGTGAGGTCTGGGTCTGAGCGTAGGCAAGGTGTGAGGTCAGGGTCTGAGTATAGGCAAGGTGCTGTATGGTGAAGTCTGGGTCTGAGCGTAGGCAAGGTGCTGTATGGTGAGGTCTGGGTCTGAGCCTAGGCAAGGTGCTGTATGGTGAGGTCTGGGTCTGAGCGTAGGCAAGGTGGTGTATGGTGAGGTCTGGGTCTGAGCCTAGGCAAGGTGGTGTATGGTGAGGTCTGGGTCTGAGCGCAGGCAAGGTATCCAAATCGTTACTCTGTAATTTTAGGGTGTGTCTTTTTCTTTAATGAGTATAAAAGTTTGTCTTCTTTCACACGGCTTGGTAATGGTCCAGGACGGATCGAAACGTCGTCGTTCCTTCATCTGATGTGTGATGTGCTCATCACAAACTGGGATATATTTTGCCTATCAACACTCTCCCGACCGAATCCTTCACACATAATATGAATCACAATACTTTGAAAATTTGTTAACTAAATATTCTTAATTAAACAATCCTAAGGAATCATATCATATGAATATATGGAATTTACTACAAAAATCACTGTCAGAGAATGACACTACTTAAATTAGAAAATAATAAATGAAGAATAATTTCACATAGCTTGGAATGGAGGTGAACTCCTGGGATAAGAGGTCTTGTACAGACATGTAACCGTTCCTCCTTCACATCTGTCGAGACGCCCCACATCAGAGAACAATAAATTTAAAATTGAATTACAGGCATCACTGATTCGTTGCCTTGTAGGTGATGACGAACAATCAGAGCAGATAAGTACCAGTAGCCTGGCCTGAAGAGTTTAATTTGTCAATTCCTTGAGTATAATATTTTCTCAGATATAGCAACATAAATAATTTTGTAAATTATTCACGATATGAGGCTTTAAATGTGGGGTTTAAGCCTCTATTATGTGCGGAACTGTAGAAAGGATGTTATTATTGGCGTACACAATATTATTAACCTGACGTTAAATTAATAAATCGTGGAAAAATCACTAAGTATCGTTTTGTTATTGTAGAGACTGGGTGCTTGAGTACACTTGGACAGTCAACAACTGTGTTTGGAAATCTCTCTCTCTCTCTCTCTCTCTCTCTCTCTCTCTCTCTCTCTCTCTCTCTCTTCTCTCTCTCTCTCTCTCTCTCTCTCTCTCTCTCTCTCTCTCTCTCTCCTCTCTCTCTCTCTCTCTCTCTCTCTCTCTCTCTCTCTCTCTCTCTCTCTCTCTCTCTCTCTCTCTCTCTCTCTCTCTCTCTCTCTCTCTCTCTCTCTCTCTCTCTCTCTCTCTCTCTCTCTCTCTCTCTCTCTCTCTCTCTCTCTCTCTCTCTCTCTCTCTCTCTCTCTCTCTCTCTCTCTCTCTCTCTCTCTCTCTCTCTCTCTCTCTCTCTCTCTCTCTCTCTCTCTCTCTCTCTCTCTCTCTCTCTCTCTCTCTCTCTCTCTCTCTCTCTCTCTCTCTCTCTCTCTCTCTCTCTCTCTCTCTCTCTCTCTCTCTCTCTCTCTCTCTCTCTCTCTCTCTCTCTCTCTCTCTCTCTCTCTCTCTCTCTCTCTCTCTCTCTCTCTCTCTCTCTCTCTCTCTCTCTCTCTCTCTCTCTCTCTCTCTCTCTCTCTCTCTCTCTCTCTCTCTCTCTCTCTCTCTCTCTCTCTCTCTCTCTCTCTCTCTCTCTCTCTCTCTCTCTCTCTCTCTCTCTCTCTCTCTCTCTCTCTCTCTCTCTCTCTCTCTCTCTCTCTCTCTCTCTCTCTCTCTCTCTCTCTCTCTCTCTCTCTCTCTCTCTCTCTCTCTCTCTCTCTCTCTCTCTCTCTCTCTCTCTCTCTCTCTCTCTCTCTCTCTCTCTCTCTCTC